AAATGATAAAGTAAGAGAGAGGAAAAAATAGAATCTTGAAAACTTTGAAGCTAGAAATAAAATCAGAAAGAGTATTAGAGGCCCTATCAGTGAGTACAGGATGCAGGACCCGTTTCATTCACACACTCACGCATACTTTAATACATATTACAAGTGCCCTACATGTACCTCTTATTCTAAAATTGCACTCGTATATAAAACTTTGTAAAAAAAGCAAAGAAAAAAGCAAAAGGATATGAAAGAAAGTTGTAGGAACTTTCTTCTAAGTTTGAAGAAATTAAGAAAAGACTAACAAACTATTAATATGCAAAAATCTAATATGTAAATTAAAAAATTGTGATAAAGGTGAGTGCAAGTTAGAATAAGAGGTACTTACAATGTGCGCAAGCTTTTCGCCACAAATTGTGACGAAAAACCTGCGCCCGAGCCCACCCTTCCTCCCACAAGCTCGGAATTAAAAAACTAATGCATTAAACAGAACTTACCAAAAATTACATTCTGAAGCATAACAAACATACCAAAATTTAATAAGACAGAAATTTGAGAAGTGTGAATATGATAACTTACCAAGAATTCAATTCTGAAATACACAAAAATTTATTAATACAGAAATTTGAGAAGAAAGAACTTACCAAGAATTAAATGCTGAAACAGATAAAATTTTATTAACATAGAAAATTAGGCAAAGGAGTGAAATATTACTTAAGCCCACCCACAAATTAGAAAATTAAGCACAGTAGGAAAACATTACTTTACCCCACCCAGACATTCATAATATGGAAAAAGCAATAAAAAAACCTGATAGTTCGAAATAAAATCGCGAAACAAAACCGTAGCTCTTAGCTCGGTATAGTTTTCTAAAGACTTTAAAAAATCTTTAGAGAACTATACCGATTACCGAGTCACACCACGTGGAGGTGGCTACGATAGTGACCCACCCTAACTCCAAATCCCTTCCACCCTCCAAATGCAACCTCATTTATCAGAAGGATAAATGAGTTCCGACTCTACTTAGCTCATAGGCCCGCATATACAAATTCTTTACCACAATCCAGTAAATAAAATAAAAATACGAACAGCGATTCTTAAAACACGCTGTCCGTAAAAGAATGTCCGAGCAGAATATTTTATTTCACTGCACTTCACTTCACAGTGTACTTCATTTTTGCAGTCGGATCTAGAACCCGACTGCGACTTACAAACTAAAAGGCCTGGCCTGAACGAAAAATCGAGTTCAAGAGAATATTAAATAAATTCATATTTAATATTTTTCTCTTCTCGATTTTTCGTGAACCCCCCAGATGCAAGCATCTCACGTGTGAGAGAGGAGGAAAGAGAAACATGAATGCTTGCTCTGGCCCTACCTACTTAAAACTAACTCATTCACACCAGAAGTAAGCTACCTGCCTGCCTATCGCTATATTTAAAAAATTGCAAAGTCCATTCTCACAAAAACACACTCCACG